AATCTGTGTTGCTCGAGGCGTTATTCGCCCTGCCCCTGTGTCTGGGTGATTAATTCGAGGCTAAAACTCTGTGTAAATACATGGTCACTCATGTTCTACATGGACTACTTTAATGGTAAAAACACACCTACTGTCAGCCACCTAGCTCCTATCGCCGTTGCGTCTATGTCTAATACCAAGTCTATGACTTCTCATGCCCTAGTCTCTTGTGTGTCAACTCAAAAATGTTGTTACAGCTTGTTTTTATTTGGTTCAATGTTGAACCACAACGAAGAAGACAATTGTAAGTCAATCCTGCCATTTAGCCTTTATGAATTGTTGCAAACATTATGGTATCGCTCCCCGATTCTGCAATTTAATGAGGAAGTGTCATTCGGACACAGTTAATGAAATCCTTTATCATGCTTCCATGCAGAAATTAGAGGAAAGTTACGAGACCGAGAGGCGTAAGCTATTTAAGTTTTTAGATCTTAAGTCTAGATTAAGGAAGGATTTAGGTAGGGTTCTCGCTTTGGATGATTTTCAAAAACTCCAGAGCATGACCTACCAAAAGTCACAGAGGGTCCGGGATCTCATAAATAAGCGACATGACAAGAAATTGCTTGTTATGGGATAATAAGACCAAGCCAATCCGGGCAAATTGTGATGGTTCTCTATTGAAGGCATCAACTGTGACAGTTGAAGATAAGACAAAGGTTGTAAACCTTTATTCAATCCCTCTTGATTCTGAAACGACGGATCTCTTAAAGGAGGGGTTAAATTTCTCACCAGTTAATGAAAGAAATGTTCTTAATTATATCCTGGTAGAAGTTGTCAACATAACTGATAAATTTCCAGAAGATTCAAGGCGAGAGATGGAACTGCAAATAATCCCAAGGATCCTGACACATCAATAACCGATAAAATGGAGCAGATTGGCTGGTATTCGGAAAAAATTACAAATAAATGATCAAATAGTTCTTCAGGCCAATAAGGGAAGAGCGACGGTTGTAATGGACAGGAAACATTACACGGAGAAAATAGAAAGTATTCTAGGCGATCGAAACACCTATCAAATACTAAGGAAGGATCCAACCACTAAGATCAACGGGATACTGAAGAATATGCTCAAGGAACTGCATACAAATGGGGAAACAAATGGATGATTAAATCTTTAATCAAAAATGATGCAAGACCACCGACAGCCTACGGATTACCGAAGAT